TTTTGACTGGTTTTTCTCAAAGTTAAGTGAAGCTACATATTATGATTCAAACAATATATACGTGTCGTGTGTGTGTGTGTGTGTGTGTGCGCGCGCGCGTGTCTGCTCTTATATCTATGTATTTTTCTTTAAGTACAAATAAAATGATGCAACATATCTAAAGTGATATCTATTTTTTTATATTAATATAACAAATGAATGTTATAATTTATGAAATATTCCTATTTTATTTTAAAATAATTAATTTTAGTTTATGATTAACCAGATTATTCAGTCTTAATGTAATAGAATAGGTTAAAAAATTATTATTTAATGTCATTTCATTGTTTCATATTATTTTTATTTTTGTCGATGTTAGATTATTTGTTTATGTTAGATTTGTTGTGTCTCTTTAGAATATTCAATAAATTTATTTTGCATTTAATATATTAAAAATTATACATTGATATAAATTAAATAAAAATAAAAATTTAAACGTATTATAAATAGAAGAGATTAATAAAATATAGGAAATTAAAAGAAATAAGCACTTATATAAAATATTTTAGATATAATAATATCGTTCATTATTAATTTTTTTAAAAAATTAATTTTTATGTGCATATATTAATTAAATATTAATTATAATTAAATGTATAAATAAATGTTATATATATAATATAATTAATAATTTGCATATCATTTATATATATAAGTAATTATATATATACGTAATATATATATATATATATATTTAATTTTAATGTTCTAGATTGCAATTCCTGATGTAGTAGAAGCTGCTAAAGATGCAGATATTCTAACTTTTGTAATACCTCATCAATTTATAAGAAGAATATGTAGTGTATTATTAGGAAAAATAAAGCCTACAGCTGTTGGCCTTTCTCTTATAAAAGTATGATTTTATTTTAGCCTTTGATTTATTTAAAAATTAAAATAAATATATATTTTGTCATATGTAGTTTTATAACTTATATATAGTTTTATAACTTTATATAGTTTTATTTAGAAAAAGAGAATTATAACTTTTTTTAAAAGTTTAATATAAATCATTTATACTATAATATATACATCATAAATTTTATATTTTTACGTATAAAATTCTTTTAACTATAAGAAATTGGGTATTCTAATTTAAACTATATAAACAATAAAAATAACACTTGACATTGAAATAGATTTATTTTTTATTAATATATTAAAAAATAAATTTATATTCATAAGATTTATATATCAATTATGACACAAATAATTATATTTCATAAATATAAATTATGCTAATATGGAACAAATTTGTTATATTTATTTATTATTATTTTTCAGGGCTTTGATAAAAAACAAGGAGGTGGTATTGAACTTATTTCACATATAATTTCAAAACAACTTCATATTCCTGTTTCAGTTTTAATGGGAGCAAATTTAGCTTCTGAAGTAGCAAACGAAATGTTTTGTGAAACTACTATTGGTAAATTTTTATTAAATCTCTAAAATAAATATCATATGTGTGCTAATAGTATTATAATTATTTATTTCCACTTAAAAAAATTAGCACAAGTGTTTAATATTTTAAAAAATATCAAAATTATACATTACAATTCTAGATAAATGTTTTTGAACAAAATTATAAAGTATTTTAACTTTATGATATCATTAATTTTATATTATATATCAGAGGAAATAATATAAGTCAAAGTTAAATAATTAATAATTTATATCATATCGATCAAATTAATAATAATTTATATTTATAGATGCCAGTTCTGAATGATTGGTTTTTCTCAAAAATATTTTATAATATAAAAATATTTATATAATAATTTTGTTCTACTATTCTAAATAATGAATATCTTTAAAATTATTAAAATTTTTAATATTATGAAATTATAATTATGAATATATAATTATAAAATTATTAATATTATGAATTGAAGTTATTAATTTGAAATAGTTATTATAGGAATTTTTTTTTTATATTAATCAAATTTTAACATTACATAATTAATTTTAACATGAGATATACTGAGAAACTATATAAGATCATTGTTATATTGCAGCAATTGATTATATTTAATATTTTTGTTCCTAATATATTTATATAATTGTTTGTCCATGATTATTTATTAATATCCAATATTATATTGTATTAAGAAAAATATTTCTGAATAATTACATTATCTTTTGCATTTTTTATAATTAAATTAATATTGATATATTATATCTTTTTTTTTTTATTCGTAGAATTCCATTACATTTTAATAGTTAAAATTTATTTTAATCATTAATAATATATTTGTACGATTATTTATGATTTAATATATAGAATATTCCATTATATTAGGAAATCGTTTCAATAGAAAAATCTACATATAAAAGCAGTAAAAAAAGTTTATATAAATATTTGATTTTGTTTTCGAGTTATAGTGAAAAAAATATTAAATATTTTCGAATGTTGAGATAATTTTATTAGATTAGATAAAAATAATTGAACTAATTTCAGTATTTACAAACAAAATTCGGTATCAGATATTCAGAATATGAACATTTTTTTCATTGTTTTCATATATAGATTTATTTATTGAAATGGTTTCCCAATATTTGTACATAAATAGGTCACATTGAATAAATCTAACTCGAATTCTAATAGTATATAGTTTCCTTAGCAGAAATTTAATACGATTAAAATCATGATAATATAAAAAAATATAAAGATCTATGTAAATACAAATATACTTGTACTGTACTGATAATTATTACATATATATATATATATATAT